AGGAAGGAAGGAAGGAAGGAAGGAAGGAAGGAAGGGGACAGCTTCTCATTATTGTGAAATAATAATCTGCTTTGTAACACAAAGATGAATAAAGCTAAGTCATCCCTCACGGGAACTTTATACAGTCAGAAAATTCAATGTGCAAGTTGTTGTTTTTTTCCCCCTTTATACATGTAGAGACTTGTAGTTTTAACAAATCCTTACTTGTCTTTCCAATAATACTGTCCCCAGTGTCCTGATATATCTTCAATACCAGCCAACAAATGATCCAGGAACTGAACAAAGAGGGAGGGGAGAAAAAGAGGATTTTGATTTACGTGTTTGCATTGTTGTCGAATGAACTCCAGGCACCTGAAGCCTCGAGACAAAAACAGAACCACATTGGGTGGCAGAAGGCTTCACGCTGCGCTGTGTGTCTCGGTCTGTGTGCCTGAGTGAATAAATCACAGGGAAAATTCTCCCATAATCTCTCGCACTCGCTTTGATGAAAGAGAATTTCCTCTTGAAATTCATTTCAAAGAGCAGAATTTTGTGGAAAACTCTGAGGAGCAAAATCAGTTGCAAAGCCACGGATACTCAGTATAATTTTTGATATATAAGGAGCATTCAACAAGAGCTATCCTCAAAACACGAGGACAAACGTCCAGGTCTACTACGCCTTTCTGTTTCTCAGATGTTTCAGATTTAAAAATAACATTCTAAATACCTTTCCAGTCTCCTTACTGAGAACTTACCCGGATATGAATTTGTTCTCCCACCGTGGGGCCACTTTCTTGTTTTCGAGTGACGTGTAACCAGCCAACGAGGGGACGGATGGTCATCCCCTGCAGCATAAGAGAAAATACAGTAGAAGGTGGAATGTGTAGTTCCAATTCAAACACGGGTTCAATCATTAGATAAATCACAAGGATGCTGGCTGGACAGGATTGAAAGATACAAATTATGGGGAAGGATGGAGCAGACTTGAATGTAGATCTTGAACTTGCACTGGGAACCATGTCAAGATGTAGCCTCTGTAGCTTTTCCTAAACTGTAGGAAGTATCCCTTGTATTCTGACTCTCTCTATATAACCCATAGTGAAACTATTTCCCGATTCGATCTCACCACTATTTTTTAAAATTTCTTTGACTAGAGGGAGGAGGAGGAGGAGGAGGAGGAGGAGGAGGAATAATCTCAACAAACTGCTGATCTCAAAAAAAAGTCAATTTTGTAAAATGAAAATGGAGGCTGACTTGAGCTACAGTTTTCTTAGGAAGAATGACCACCTGTCAGAAAAGAAAGCAAGATGAGTTTTTAGTTTGCCCTTCAGTTATTAGGTTTTTTTTTTTAACAGTGACAAACTCTTGATGTTACATGGTTGACGTTGGTTAGAAGTCAAATCTGGAGAACCATCATTTGTGCTGACTCCTCTAGAGCAAACTTTTTTCCTCTTGAGTATCCTCCAGGTATTCTGTCTCAGATACACAATTCTCAGCAATGGTCAAACTGGCTGGGAAATTCCAGAAGTTGATTTATCCATCTGGAGAGAACTCCAGGAAGTTGGGTTAGGATGTTCAAACAAAGCTTAGAAAGCTTCAGAAGAGCTTCAGGTAGAATAAACATATGGGGACCAAATTAAACAATCCAACCAACATGCAGTTGAAGTCCTATCGGACTCTCTTCCAGGTGCACAATGTCCTCTCCAGATGTGGTTGACCTTTTAGTGAGCTTTAGAGCCCCAACTTTCTGATGTCACCAATTTAATTTTACCGCAAGGTGGCACTAGACGTTAAAAAAAAACTTCAAGAAATTCTCCTTCCCCCAATTTTGCTATTTTTATTATTAGCAGTGTTGAGAGCCTGGTGAGCAAAACAGTGGAATACAAGCTGCAGAAATAAAATGAAAATCCTATAAACAAATCACCCAATATAAGATAATGTGTTGCTAGATCACAATCAGTGACTTACTTGTGTATTCGTTGAACATTTAGTTTCAAGAAACGTGGGAGAGACAACTTGGAAGTTTTTTCCAGATTCTTGGAAGAAGTTTCTTCAGAGAAAATTGGAATTTTTAAACAGAAAGAACAGCAGCCTTCTGCCTGAATTAAAGGATACGACATTGTGAAAGGGCCAGTCCTTATTTTCCTAAGGATCTTGAAGAAAGGATCATGAAATGCAGCCCCTATTTTTGTAACTTTGGGGTGGGGGATACTTCTTGGGACCAATCACAGAGAAAACCTCAAAACTGCTGTTTATTGCAATTTTATTGCTCACAATGTATTGGCCAGAAAATAAAGCTGAGTTTTTTCTAAAAAATGGGAGAACATTCTGGATTAGAATAGAACAGAACAGAACAGAACAGAACAGAACAGAACAGAATAGAATAGAATAGAACAGAACAGAATAGAGCTGGAAGGGACCTTGGAGGTCTTCCAGTCCAGCCCCCTGCTCAAGCAGGAGAACTTATACCATCTCAGACAGGTGACTGTCTAGTCTTTTCTTAAAAACTCCACTGATGGAGCGCCCACGATTTCTGGAGGCAAGCTGTTCCACTGGTTGATTGTCCTCACTGTCAGGAAGTTTCTCCTTAATTCCAGGTTGCTTCTCCCCTTGATCAGCTTCCAACTGTTGTTCTCATCGTTCCTTCTGGTTCTCTGGTGAACAACCTGACGCCCTTTGCCTTGTGGAAGCCCCTCAGATACTGGAATACTGCTATCATGTTGGGCTTCCCCCAACAGTTGACCTATCTGGTGACTATTGCCATTGGACCTGTTGGGAGAACATTAGCCCATCATGTCCTCACCTACCAAAGAAGGAATCAGGATTGCTTTGCTCTTCCAACCCCTTTGAGACCTACCAGTTTTGAGGACCAAACTGAGAGAAAGGTACTTTGAAGATGAGACAAGGGGTAGACTAGCTGAGCCCATTGTTTTCATTTAGAAACACAACACAACCTCCTGATTTTTCACTGCATGCTCCATGCCTTTCTTTTGGTCCCAAAACAGCTGTGGAATGATAATGATCCTGTGCTCTGTAAACAGAGATGGTTCTCATCCTTTGAAGGCCAAGGTGCATCTTTACCATTTTGAGAATATGTCATGCCTACTCACCTAAAGTACCTTTCATAAGGATGTGGGCAGCTACCACACATCCATATAAAGCAGGGTGTAGTGATATAGCTTGCAATATTCTCCACTACTTCAGTTTGGTTTTTAATTTTTTTTATAGGCAGGTAGGTGTCAGGCATGAAAGATCAGATTCCCCCAGTAAAGGTCCAATTAAACGGATTTATTTCTATTCATGCCTGTGCACGGGAATCTTCTCAACCAATGATTAGCACCTGCTAGGAGTTAGACAGAGTTCCAGGGAGGCTGGACTTAATCTGCTGGTGGCTACATAAGGATTCTAGACTGATTCCTCTTTTGACTCCACCCCCAGGTTCTGCCACTCCTTCCCCTACAGCAGGGGTCTCCAAACTTGACAGCTTTAAGACTTGTGGACTTCAGCATGGCTGGCTGAGGAATTCTGGGAGTTGAAGTCCACAAGTCTTAAAGCCGTCAAGTTTGAAGATCCCTGCCCTACAGCAAATAAATACAATGCTGAAGATCAAACTTTGCGCTGCAGCTACCTAGCTTCCCATTTAGCTGTGCGTGATGCAGTTATCAATTGCATACACACACATGCAAATCCAAAACATGGCTACCAAAATCCCTCCTTCCACTTGAACCCTGTAGGTCAGTATTTCCCAACTTTGGCTACTTTACGACCCGTGGACTTCAGTTTCCAGAATTCCCCAGCCAACTGGGACATCCTGACATCACACATCTTCAAATGGCCGAAGTTGGGAAACACTGCTGTAGATCAATATATTTTCACTACATTTTACACAAAATGATTGCACCTATTGCTGCATCTGTGACTAGCAGCCTGTGAGGCAATTCACTAATGGGAAGAAATTACCCAAGAATTATCCTATTCCAGTAATCGTGCTCGGCTGTTTCACTTCCCCACATTTTATATTTTCATGTTTCACAATTATTACGTTTTTTTATATAAAATATAACTGCGGTAACTGTTTTAAAGTGATAAGAAGGTTTTAACAAGGGAGGACATCAGTCATCTCCCTGGAAATGCTAGCCAATTTGCAATTCCATATCTCTTACGTCCTCTGTTGCTTCTCTCTGAATGGCTGGCTAATAATGGTGGGGGTTTTGCTCAGATATTCTGCAAGTGGCATGTTGATCCAGTTTTTAAAAAAACAATTCACTGATTGTCTATGCATACATGATCCATTGACACCTCTGAGAGATGATATATCATAACCTGTAGGAGAAGAGGAGGCAAGGCTGGGGGCGGAATTAAGCACATCATCAGCTTAGCATTGTTACATTGTTATAAATGGTCTAAGTTCATTTATCCATTTTGAATTCCATTGACCCTTATCAATGGAATTTAGAACTGAACTTTAGTTAACTAGATTCTTGTGTATAAGCTTGAGCAATAAATCTTGAACTGCAACTTAACTTGCATCTGATGTAGCCTTCTACAATACGCTACCTTCCCAATATCTGGAGACTAACATATCTCAGAATTACCAAAGAACGTGGCTGCTGACCATTTTAGATCAGAATTCTGAGAGTTCTAATCTCAGCCTGTTGGTTAAAAATAAACATCAGAGCAGTTATTTAAAGATACGTTCCAGATCTGTGTGTGTGCCAACAGGTAAGAGAATTCAGCCCACCAAACTCAAAATTTGCTTGAATACCTGTACAAAGACAGTAAAGAGAATGACAACTGTGGTTGCCGCAGTGAAGAGCTTCTTCCTCTGGAAGTCAGGGAGCAAAACCACCAAGGAGAAACAGATGGCCCCTCTAAGGCCGCCATATGCAATAATGAACTGGTCCTTGTGTGTAACAGCGTTGATGTGTAACCTGTTGATGATGAAGGTCAGGACCAGAACACCTAAAAGAGATGAAGCAAGGCAATCAGTTTTAAAAAGATAGGAAAACCAAGGATCGCCCACTAAGACCACCATCCTCTATAAGAGTTGCCACAAACTCAGTTTGCATTAAGTGTGTTGAAGAGTAGGGCTACACCGCATGCTAGGCTGGGTTTATGTGAGAGCAGCTTATAGTCCAGCATGATGGGCAATTGTAGCCCTTGTCTTAGCACGTGGTGTGAAGTGAGCCATTTCACTTCACACCACGTGAAGGACTTAAGTTTGCTGTCTGAGCCCAGCCAAAGTTGAGATCAGTGGAAATAAGCTTTCATATGTATCAGTTGATGAACATTGGTGCATCAAAGAGGAGGAGGAGGAGAAGGAGAGGAAGAGGAAGAGGAGGGAAGGAGGAGGAGGAGGAGGAGGAGGAGGAGGAGGAGGAGGAGGAGGAGAAGGAGAAGAAGAAGAAGAAGAAGAAGAAGAAGAAGAAGAAGAAGAAGAAGAAGAAGAAGAAGAAGAAGAAGAAGAAGAAGAAGAAGAAGAAGAAGAAGAAGAAGAAGAAGAAGAAGAAGAAGAAGAAGAAGAAGAAGAAGAAGAAGAAG